CCAATCAAGCAGCTTCTCGTGTTCAGTTAATTAACTCGTGCTCCATTTGTATCTCCTTGTGCTGTGTGTATCGTACAAACGTAGTAGGAATGTAGCCGGTATTTATTTGGTGCCTGGGAAAGAGTAAGTGGTTGTGCAATGTTCTGAGTGCCCCTGGAAGGCTCTGCTGCAATTATGTCCAATACTTGTCCCTCTGTGTCTGAAACCCGAACATCAACTGTCGTCCATTATCTTCCTGGAACCACTCTCCTCGCCCTTTGTTGGCGTGAGTTCTTTCAGTTTCTGCTATGTTACTGTAGCATTTCCCCTGAACTAATCGCAGATACGCAAATTCGTGAAAGGAAATTCAAAGTAAGTCACAGTTTGACAAATTATTGTTACGATTGACAAGGGCTATCCACCTGTAACTATCTGTTAATGACAAAAAACATCATTGCCGCTGTGCCTTTTCATCAAAAAATTGTAGAAGAGACCTTTTTTTATATATCAAAAATTTTCGTAATTTAAAGCAAAGATCGTAATTTTTCTGTTTGAATGCTTAAGTATTCCAATATGCCATTAATTAAACATGGAACAATTTCAAAATAATGCTTAATAACAAAGTTGAAATTCGATCTTCAACTGTTAATATCTTCTAGAAATTTTCAATATTTTTCTCGTACTCCCCAAGGGAGCCTCTATCATCCCTTAAAAGGAATGACGCCAATTTTGAATCACCCTGTATAGTGAGAAATCAAATTGATTCCATACTACTAAATAAACAATTCTAAAGTTATGTGAAGGCAGTTAAAACATATCCAGAAGCGTACGTGGAATCTGGTCCTAATCCAGTTGCTACGTAAATTGAACTACACCGATTTAAAAAAGCAAAGAGACAAACAAGTTATAGACATCCGAAGACTGGAAGATCCTAATACAAAAGAGCAAGTAAGAAGCTCACTAGAAACAGAAATAAAACACATCAAGATAGAAGATACCGAGGCAACCTGGAGCGTAATAAAGAGAACAATTAACAATATCCAAGAGCAACAGATAGGGTCATAAAAAGCAAGGGTGAATGACGCAGGAAATACTGTCTTTGATGGATGAAAGAAGGAAGCAAAAAGAGCAAAACCAAAACAGATACAGACAACTCAACAAAAGAATTAGAAGAAAGTGCAGAAAAGTCAGACATCCATGGCTGTCAGCAAAATGTCAGGAGAATCACTATAAGCAAAAAAAACGTTAAACTCACAAGAAAGTTAAAGAACTCGTGGGAAGAGGTCGAAAGCAACCAGCAGCAGTTTTGAAAGATGCCAAGGGAGAAATTGTAGCTGGAATAGAAGAAAAACTTAAAAGAAAGAGTATGTTGTTGAAACGCTATTCAAAGACAACAGATCTAGCCATCCACCAAAAAGCGACTATGTTGAAGAAATCGGACCTGAAATGCCAAAAAATGAAGTTACTTATGCTATCAAACTACGTAAACGGAAAAGACACAGGTCCAGATTACATATATGCTGAAACTCTGAAGATTATGGTAGAAATCGACAAATCAGGTCTTGATCTTCTAACATCACTAATCAACAGCATACGTACCAGTTAGGCATGGGTAACTCAGTTAATTTTCAGGAGTTGGCGCAGTGATGTCAAAATGGCTTGGTGTGTCAACCCAAAGCACCGACACAGTCACACAATAAGACAAGTAGCAGAGTGCGCCCAAATGTAAAAATTAATTTCGAATTTCACTTATCGTCAAGAAAATGTTGCTTAGCATTTGAAAAAGCTGTTGTGGGTCAATTTTGCATAGCGTTTTTCGAAAACAAATTTCTCAGAAATCAGAAATACTCTATAAATTCTAGAGTTGTGCGTTCAGTGAAATAGAGTGCGCTCTAAATGTCGTCAACATTTCTTCAACCGTTCACAAATTAAGTCAAATCGCATAAAATCCTGAATTTTGCGCGCTTTGTAAATGTTGATTTGAAAATAAACGCTTTTACGAAACTTCCGAAGTAAAACCAATAGAAACTTGAAAGATTGACATTCTGTAGAACACTTTTTTAAAATTACATTTTGGCCTAATCTTGCACCTAAATGTTTGATATTCAAAGTTCGTGTGACTTTTCGTGAGAAATCCATCAGAATTTACTCACGCACGTTGTTACAACTGAATAGAATTAAAAAAAAAACAGGCAAAAATAAAACTTCGCTCTAACGCTCTAAATATCGTCAAAATTTATTCAACCTTTCAAAAATTTGTTCAAATCACTTGAAATACTGAATTTTACGCGTTTGTTATAATAAGTGAATCAAATTACCAATTCTCCGATCCAATGATATAAAAACCAACTCTGTGGCTGAAATGGTTCTTGAGCAACGTCCAAAAAGGTGGCATCAGGTTTTGGTCAATTTTGAAATAAAAAAAACAAACAAAACTAGAACTCTTGACTTTTTTAACATAAAACTGGGACCCATATTTGCATATCTGAAACGGTTCTTGGGAGACAAGCTTCAGGTGAGCTTGATGTAAAAATAAGCTCCCAAAATATGCCCAAAGTGTAAAAATTAATTACAAAAGAACCAATTGGTACCAAATTCACCCTACAAGTCAGTTGATGAATATGGGACTAAAAGTTATATATGGGACCAAAGTAATGCTAAGCTTACCGAAAACTGCGTACCTGGAAAGAAAGAAGAAAATGTTTTTAGTACAGCAGAGAATCTGTCAAAACCCAAACTTATTTGAAACGAGCAAAGCAAAAGAGAGAAATATAAAGAATCCATAAAACTTCAGTAGCTTGTCGGATAACTAAACTCAGTTTAAACTAAAAGATTTATAGATTACAGATCATCCTTACCAGCTTTCTGCAAGCTGGGGCCCCATCCTCCATTTTCGAGTCTAACTACTCTTTCAGAAACTACGGCACTTGCCATAAGGGCCACAATAATTCTATGTTTCCCATCCAAGAATGCGCTTCACTCGACACTATCGGTTGCAAACTGAAAAATCATACTCACTCAAAATAATACATGATTATATAATCATTTGCTGGTTCACCCTTTCGATGATTTATTGCGCTGCTCTTTCTTGGCAGTTCGATTTCAAATTTAGTTTATCAATCTGTACTAAAAGTCGGGAGGAAATTCTGGTCTTCAGAGCCATTTATATTTGTATGAGTTTCACTCAGTTGCAATTGCACATCGCCAAAACTAAAACTAATAACCTAATTAATTTAGTTTCTCTAAAAATATTGCTGAAACAAAAAAACCCCAAAAAAATCACTTAAAAATGAAACTGTTGCTCAATTTCTGAGTGATGATAGAAATCTACATTTCAACTAATTAATTAAAAATGTCCTATAAAAGTTCTGATTTCAAAAATTATTCCGTCACAAGCGCAATTTGAGGTGCGGTGCAGTGATGCGCGACGAGTTATAACCCACCAACTTACAGAGCGGCATCAACTCAAAAGCGCAACTCAACACAGTGTTACCCAGACCTAATACCAGCGGCAGGATATCACTTAGCTGGCTGAGATCTACATTCATCAGCCTACCCAAAACGGCTGGCTCCTCGAACTGTGCCGACTTCCGCCTGATAAGTCTCATGTTATATGTGCTAATAGCCTTTTTAAGAGTCATCCACGCACAAATATACTGCAAATGCGAGACCCAAGTTAGCGAAACCCAGTTTGGATTCCGGAATGGGTTTGGCACACGGAAAGCCCTCTTCTCTCGGAAAGTCTAAACACAAAGATGTAGAGATGTGAATATTGACTTATACGCATGCTTTATAGACTATCGCAAAGCACTTGACTGCGTTAAACCCGAAAAACTAATACATACCATAACATCTACAGGTATAGATAATAGGGACATTCGTGTGATTGACGACAGAAAACGTCTCGATCATGAGAGGAGTGAGGCAGGGCTACGTCTTGTCGCCGCTCTTTTCAACTTATACTCGGAGGCAATATTCAGAGAAACAGTTGACGAAGCAACAGGAGGAACAGAAGTGTATGGTAAGGTAATAAAGGGCTTAAAATACGCGGATGACACCGTCATCATAGCCAGCAGTCCAAGTGAATTACAGAGAATGATCCATAAAATACTCAAACAAAGCGAACAATATGGTCTTTTAATGAACATATCCAAAACTACGAACATAGTCTTCTCCAAAACATCTAAAAATACAACCTTAACCATAAAGGACAAAGATGTAGAGCAGGTCTCCTCGTTTAAATATTTGATCACCTCGATAGATCAGGATTGTGACCCTTAAAGTGAAATCAGATCCAAAATAGAACAGGCGAGGAAGGTCTTCGCTAGTATGAAGAAGCCATAGATAAAGACGAGAAGAAGCTCTTTACTAGATTGGAATTGAGCTTGGAGCTCAGGACACGCATGCTCCGTTGCTATGTATTCTCTGTCCTACACGGCAGTAAGAGCTGGACTTTTAATCCCATAACTGAGAAGAGAATCGGGGCATTTGAGATGTATCTCTATCGAGGCATGCTCTTCTGAGACGTATGAACAAAGGAAAGGAACTGCTACAAACGATAAAAGAAAGGAAAACTCAGTATCTTGGACATATTAAGAGGGGCAGCCGATACGAAGTTCTGAAACTCATCAGCGAAGAGAAGATTCAGGGAAAAAGATCCATCGGAAGACGCCAGAACTCATGGCTGAAGGACATCCGCAGGTGGTTTGGGCATACATCCACAAGGATTTTCCGATCAGCTGTTTAAAAAACAACGCTGGCCATTTGAATCGCCAACCTTCGCAAAGAGACGGCGAGATAAAAAGAAGAATTGTCTAAAAAATCCGGTGTCTTTTTGGCATTTCGCTGCTCTGACTCCTACGCACTCCAAAATAATAAATACTGTCATCCAATTTTTTTATCTATCAACTATCCAAAAATCGTGTCACCTATATTTCATCTTACGATGTGTAAGCGAATATATCTCCCCTTCAGTCGGCAACGTTCCGCAAAGGTAAAATTATTCTCATTAAAACAACGTATTATCAGACTTACATATATGTATTTCATACTGCATATAAATTTTTTTAGGATAAATAGCTATAACACAATAAGACATAAATTAATACCAATGTACAGTTTTTTGGACAAGTTTACATGTTCTATATACAAAATTATACACTACTTACATGGACAACGGGCTCTGACAAATCAGCTTGTCTGGTATTTTAAAAAGGGGAACTTTATATTAATAACAGAAATAATTAATTCATAAATATATAAATAGTGGGGTGGCACATGGACTAAACGTGCCACCAATTTTACATTCTATTATATACAAACCATCGAATTTAACAAGCAATTTTACAGTCTGGCGTATTTACAATTATTGCTTTATGGAAAAGGCACTGGAACACATACAGAATGAGTTGCGAAAGCTGTCTTGCGCAAATCGCCCTGTTTTTGCTTTGATTAATTTTTAAGTAAGAGTATATACATTAAGTACTCGGGTCTAGAATATTAGAGCATAACAGCAATTGAATGGAATGTTTGATTTTTCGGTACAGTTAACCCGGTCTGGATTGAGTCGAATGTTTGAGGAAGCTGCTTGCCTCTAACAGTCTCTATAAGTAGCTTTCACTGGAACTAAAACCCCCGCCTTTTTAAGCATAAGTGATGCGCGAACATTGGTAACTGTCAAATGGGAAGCTGCGCACATTTAGTATCTGTCCAAATGAGCAGGAATTAAGTAGTTGGCTGTGGCGTAGAGTACTTTGGCATACCAATGTATCCCCACCGCAGGAGATTGTCGGTTTTGTATAGACCCCGTCCATCCCTGGATCGGTTTATTCAGAACCAGCCACACCCTCTGCATTGCCAGTTTAACATTCCAAACTAGCCGCAGAGGAGCGAACGCCCAATGCGCCAATTTTTGATTATCCACCGTGGCGTAGCAAGACACGACCACTTCGTTAACTACCACCGTGCCGGCTTTGGTTAAAGGGGCGTATACGCCGATTCGAAAAACCGCCGTCACACTTTCGATGAGGTCCTCACTCAAATTGTTCTGACTATCACTCACTAACAAATGGTCACCTGCTTTGAGGGTACCGGCGTACACCGTCCGCCCATCTTTCAAGATCACCAAGTGGTTAGGCGTCACTGTTAAGGTTCTGCCCGATTTTAGGTTTACACTTAGGAAATCCCGCTTTTCAGTCGGGTTGTAGTCTAGGAACAGGATCACTTCACTAAACACTAATTTTTTGGTTGAGGGATCGTGCGCAAGGATTCGTTCGCCTACTTGAAGCTCAGAGAGGCGCCTCCTCACACCGCCTGATGTTAACACGGTGCTGTCGCCTGTAAAGCATCCTCCGTATCTCACGGAGTGGGCGGATTCTGAAACAAATTAACACCAATGACGTTTGTGGTTTAGTGGAAAGTGGAAAGTATCGCGACTTAAGACTAGGTTTTCATAATTTGCCAACATATGACGCTTAAATAGTTTCACGCTTCCAACCATTTTTGGCGTTCGGTGCTGAAGGCATGCACGCATGAAACTTTTGCACTGATAGTACTGAATCTCATGGGGAATTTTCAAGTAGCTTGATTGGGCGTATCAAAAATGAATACTAGAAAAGTTGAACATTCTTTTGGATCATGATGCCATTGAAGGTTTTTCAATCCCATGCCAAACTTCATAAGAGTGCAAATATGTAATTCGATGCCATCGAACAAACCTTCTTCTTCTGATTCTTCAGATGTCCGGGGCTCTTTGACAAGCTGAGAAGGTTCAGCACCGTGATTATAAATATGGTCTATTATGACAGGTATCGGTGTAAAAATTTGCAAACACACTTGACCGGAACCCGGCCTTCGCAAAGGTGCCCACAAAGGAGGTTTATCGCTAGCGGAGATATTTAATTTTGAAACGGCACCCAGGCTGGCGGCATTATCATCGTCAAATACCAACGAGCCGGTCATTTGTTATTTTGGACGCCCAGAACGATCCGCAGCCGCTGGACCAACTGCACGAAGGCAAATCGTTCTTCTGAATGATGATAGAAAATGAAGTAAAGTAACAAAAATGTGAGGACAAAAAACATAATTTTGGATGGGGTTTTGGAGATAATTTCGAGTTTAAAAGTAGAATATATGATATAAATCGGCTGGTTAAAATGTCTATTTAAGCGACATTTTCACAAAAATTACTGAGCTTAATTTAACCATTCAGGACAAACATACAAAAGTATTTTTTGACCACGAAAAGATTTTCACTTTTAAGAAAAAGATATAATTTTGGACAAATTGGGTGAGCTGCGACCACTTTGGTAGCTTCCCACCAATGAACAAATTTTTAGAAGAAGGAAGCGTCGAAAAAGAGGGACACATATTGAAGAATAGGAAACTTTTATTCAAATTACGTCATATAATATTTGTCACTTCACCCCAAGCGCCCCACCTAATTAGGAGGCTTGAAGAAACATTTGGAACTTAAAATTCCAGTAGCTTGAATACACTTGAATACTGTTAACACCCGATTACAACAATTAGTTGGGAAGCGAGCAATTAAGGGTTGCACCTCGAGTTGAGATAAAACGGAGAATCAGGTGCAGTTGGTTCGATCCCAACTGTTTCGTGTGGTGACGGTCACTTGTAAAGCGATACATTCAGAGATGGTATCTGTTGTGACATTTGTGCTAGTTTAATAGCCCCAAATTAACTTTACTAGTTCACTTTATCTCCTTTTTCATGTCGAGGCGAAGCCACAGAATGAATTTACGCACGGTGACGTTGTTTTATGGGCCTTTCCAACGTTTCCTGACTGCTTTGAATGGCTTTGGAAAGGCAATTTTCTCGGTAAATGCCGCTTAAAATTCAATTGAACAAATCCCAACTTGCAAAACCTCAAAGCGAAAAGTCAATTATCGAATCCCATTAGCTGCATTGTAATCCGTTGCCAAACAGAAAGGGACTCGATAAACATTGGTACAAAGTCGTTTCGGAAAACGTCAGGATTAGTGCGATTCTGGCGGTAATCTCACAAGTAAAACCCACAACAAATAAATCCTCTACGGCTCAACATTCCGATGTTCATGTTGTTAACCGGGATTAAGACTATTGACTTTGGGGTCTTTTGGGGGTTTTCAGTTCCATGAACATCTTGTTGGTTTAGCACTTGATTTCGTTTCCTCAAAGGAACTCATTCAATTGTGGAAAAAGGGCAGATTAACTAACAGGCTTGATATGGGTGAAAATAAGCCTGTTAGGTATCTATTGACGCGTTTACACACTCGATTTGTAATCTGTTGAGTTAATTGAAAAATGTCTTCGCTGTGGTTGAATGTTTTTGATGAGAATTATGGGATTGAATCTAGAGGAAGTCGACTCACTTCTTCAGTGTTTCCTACAGTTTTTAACATTAGTTGGCAAGAAAATATTTTGAAGCTCTTTGCTTCATTGTGCATAAAATTGAGTGTCCAATACGTACCAGACTTAACCGAGCAGTGAATGTGGCTCTTGCTCTCATAAAACACCCAATCGAATCCGGCTTCGACGGCCAATCTGGCTAACATTCCCAGCTTTGATCTCTCCCGGTCCGATGTGACGATGTCGACCGCTCTCCCTTCATAGTGGAGAGAATCGGGCGCGTGTTCTCCTTCCTCATCCCAGCCTTCAGTGACCACCAGCCTGGTGCCCGGCCATTGATTCATAACGGAGATGGCCAGCGTGTTCAGTCTCTCCTTGCAGCGCTGAAATTGAAAACAAAATCAGTTGAAAATCAAAGAAAACAACCAATAATATTCATGGGTTGTTTCCCCTAATAAAACGCCCGGAAAATCATACTTCACACTATTTTGACAACAAACGCGGCCGCCCGGTTTTATGTAACCTTCTTCCATGGGGTGGGCCTGTTAGAGCCACAATAGCATCTAAGCAACATCGAAACGAACAAACATCGTTGTGTACATATTTTTAAATAAATCGCTTCAAAGTGAATGGGCAAAAGGTGCCGACCCGGCCTAGCCGGCTTTCTGAAGAATGTCGAACACACATTAAATGGGCATTCTGGTTCGGACAAAGGATGGCCAAATGGAATTTTTTGGTTCCGAAATTTCTGGCCAATTGGATAATTTCAAAAGTTAATAAATTACTAGCGGAGATTAGTAGAGGCTTCTTCCTGCCGACAATGGCTTCGTTACAGCCTGGTTTCATTGTAACGGGTCTTTGAAAGGTCTGACCCCGGGAAAGAGCCGCGTTGATTCGTAATTTGGCGCCATTAATAAAGAACCTCCTGAATAACAAGATGGCTCCTCTATTTACGAGGAAGAATGTTTAACACCCTGTAATGTTTTGACCCTTACCAGACAGCTGCCTTCCATCATGAGCATTGAACATTTTTCAAAAATTATCTTTCTTGTCCTGCTAGTGCAAACTGAGTGCCCCTGCATTATCATAATGTAAAAAACCCTAAAGTCAAAATGTTCTTCTTATATATTCTTCCAATGGGTTTCCACTCAATTGCTTTTTCTGATACATTTTTCATTTTCGCAAGTTAAATCAGGAGCGTCCTGTACACTAGATCTTTACCATTTTTCTCTTATTACTGTAACGCCGTCGTTCGAAAAACGGTACTTTTCGCCCTTTCATGGAACCCTATGATTTTATGTCAGTTAAACAGTGTGTCTGGAGAATTTCTGTGCAAAATGCTACCACAGATTCGTGGAGTGAAAACAATCCTCCAAGATAAGAGTGGAAAATAAAAAAAAAATGTTAGTAATGCTACTTTGTACATACTTTCCTGACTGTGTTTCAATTCCAAATCAAAATCAATTCCTGGGCTTCAGTCATTTATTGTCTCTATTTATCAATTAAAATACGTTTCGGTGTTTTCCACCATCATCAGTTTGTCTAAAATAACAGATAGTTAAAAAAAAATTCATTAATTTAGAAAACAATCACAGTTCGTCAACAGCTTCATCATATCACACACTAAAATACATCACAATTGCAACACTTTAAAACATTCCAAGATTAATTAGGCCTAACAGGTGATTAGTCAGGACAATCAATTATGGGAAGAGACTAGAATTCTTTGTTCAGATACTCAAATATTTTTACTTACATGTGTAGCGTTGTTGCTACTTTAAGCCTTGGCATATATTTGGAGTATTAATTTTGCCCATTTTGCACACAAAACGAAATACTGTTTATATTGATTTCTTTTACTTAAATTAATGAAAATTTTTTTTAACTATCTGTTATTTTAGAAAAACTGATGATGGTGGAAAACACCGAAACGTATTTTAATTGATAAATAGAGACAATAAATGACTGAAGCCCAGGAATTGATTTTGATTAGTAATGCTACTATCTGAACGAAATCTCGTATCGGAGGGTTTTACGGGGCGATAAATTATAATCCGGTAACATTTTCTATACGGATTGAAGGGAGATATACGAATCATATTTATTTATTTATTTATTTAACCAGAAAAGATTTACAGCAAATTATACTTAAAACTGTAAAACCCTGCAGAGATAAACACAGTTATTTATACGCAGGTCCAGTTGAAACAATAAAAAAACCTACACACTAACTATTTTTTAAAAGTTTTATTTAAGTTTACTGCCAACATTTCCTTATCGATCGTTCACTTTCTAAAAAGGGCATTTAGTTCTCCCTGGAATGAGGTTCTTGCTCATTTTGTCTCTGAGAAATGGAAAGAGGAAGAAAAACATGAAATTTTGGCATAATCTTGCACCAAGTGTCTGATAATCAAATTTCTCTTTCTGGGTCAAAACTACTCGAAGTTCCTCACTTGTGTTGTTATGACTGAATCGAATTTTTGATTCTCTATCCAACGATACCAAAACAAATTCAGTGGCTCAAATGGGTCTTGAGAAACTTCGAAAAAAGTCATCTTTGAGTCGATTTTGCAACTCGAAATACACACGCAAATCTAAACCTTCTTGAAATCAACACTTTTTTGAGAAAACTGCCAACATTTCCTTATCGATGGTTCACGTCCTAAAAAGGCCATTTAGTTCTCTCTGGGATGGTGCAGAAATAAGCGTTTTTGCTCATTTTGCTTACGAGAAATGGTACCCTAAGTACCCATTCGATGGACATCACGATTGTGATTTATGCAGGCTGGTACCGCGATGAAATCTCGTCAAACAAATCGAATGGATATATTCAGTGAATCGAGGCTGGCCGGTCCGTGAAATCGGCCATTTTTCAACTGTTTTGTCAAGACTTCATCACAGAACACGTTATCATAACTCATTGGCCTTTTTTTCCCCGCGAACCGGTACCATTAATATTTAATCAGAACGGAGAACCCACTGTGGGAACCACCATTGTAGTCGGTTTTTGCGCAGAGCTGGACTGCGATCTGACTGATTTGATTTGTCCTATCATAGCGGGTGTTTTCTTACCCCCCGAAATACCATAATTCTGGTCTTTACCTACTGAGTGTTTCACCAATAAGTACAGTTTGGGTTAGTGGCGAACAATAAGACCAATTCCTGCTGAGTTATTCTTTTGGCATTAAACTCTGCGCTTCCAATTAGTTGGGGGAATAAAAAACGCGCACCATCAGTCAGCTTTTTGCCATTAATGGGGTCTTTTCCAAGTTGGCTTTACGATTGTTTTATCCCATCTTATCATTTGATGGCATCGTTAAACTGGTTTTCGATTCGAAATCTCCAAGTGCACCTAAATTTCTATTAAAGTTCTCCGGTTGCTTTTTTTATTGGTTTGTTTCTTTAATGAAGCATTGCATTCGAAGTAGGAATTCGACGAGATAAAGACACCTAAAACATTCCTGTAGATAATTCCATAATCCACTCCATCAATGAGCCATTGTAACTGTTAATGATCCGTGAGAAAACAATAACAAATTGCAAGTTTAAAAATAAACTTACTAATGTTTACTTTGTGTGCTTAGATAAGCGTAACAATTCATCAATGGTGATTTAGTGGGGAATGATCGTTTCCTATGTCTTTGGCATCTGGTTCAGTCTCTACACAGGTGCCCCTTTCGTTTCAAACAGCAAGTCTCTGGAGGGCCGTTAACAAAAAATAGAAAAACTCTTTCAGCAAGCAACAAAAGTATGTTTGTAGGAATCACAAAAACAAGAATGGCCTGTCGGCAGGCGTTCTATGACAGAGTCAATTCCGGATCTTTTCTTTCTAAACGTACCTGAAAATTGTCGCGTAGAATGGAAGTGGATAAAGCTGTTCGTCCATGTGCAACTCACAGTCTAACACAGATTAATTGGGCTGAATCGATTGACCTAAATTGATTTCACGTATGTCACTAGATGGCTAATTTATGACCAAGAAAAGGTTTGACATTGAGGAACAATATCTTCCCGGAAAGACGTTGTCGCGATCATTACGAGCCTCCTGACCCACATCCCCTGAATGCTACTTAACTACTATATCTATCATCCGTACAAAGATCTCCAGCTGGTTGGGCAGATCTCACTGACTCTAAATGCTTGCTCGAGAATGCAAAATATTTGCTGCTCATTTTCCAAACAATTAAAGATGTCGATTTTTCAAGGAACTGAACTGTAAATCGGCAAATCACACTGTTGGAAGCGGTTTTTGAAAACATTTTGTTGTCCCACAGGAGAAAATAACAGCTAGTTCTTAGACCGTTCGAGTGGTGCGAAATTACAGTTGTCTGCGAATTTCTCTATTGATGGCTTGATTTATATGTTCAAACCGTTGGCTGATTTGCAGCCTTTTTGGCTTCGGAGCAATGAAAAATCTGCTGAAGGATAGATAATTTCGGATCTTTTAAACATCATGTCTGAGCCTTAGATTCAGACGTGGAAATACGGCGTTGAGGAGTTGAAGTATTCATTCCTAAACCATGAAGTTTTTAGCCGTTTTTTTTGTTAATGCACCATATTGTTCCGAAGCTCATAACTGATCAACGACTTCAGGCATCAGAGAGCGGGTTTAAGTATTCAATACAAGAGGCTGGTTCCATTGGCGCTAATGGTTCCTTCGTAACTTATTCTGAAAATTTGCACAGTTAATTCGTGGGTTTTTAATTTCTGCACCATGCAGTACGTTTCTGAGTCAGTTAGATTTATGGTGTGCATCTAGTTCTATCCAATCGAGTCGTGGTTTCAACCACTTCAAGTATCGGAAAGCGGGATTAAGTAGGTACTCGATAAAGGAAGATTTTTTCTGCAATGTGGAAATTTGGTTCGTTTCAAGCATGTAGTTCCTTCATAATAAATTCTTAAATTTTGGAAAGTTGTTCGGGTTTTTCTTTATGCACCATGTTCTTCTGAACCTAATTTCTTAGCAGTTATCTCGGAAATTGCAATACCGTCCTCAGTAATCGACGAGAGGAGCTTTAGTATATTTCATTTGACCTAGTGGTTCCTCCATAATTATTTCATAAACTTTGGATAGTAAATGCGGGTTTTTTACTTTTTACCATGATTTTCAGTGGTTAATTTCTGAGTCAATTTAAAAATCATCAAGCAAAATGCGGCAGTCGTTAGGGAAATATGTCGCTCAATTGTGGTCTGCATTTCGTTCCATTCCATTACAGTATGTGGTTACCTCATATTTAATTCGTAAACTTTGAAGGTTTTTCTACGGTTTGTTTTTTCGTGCACCATGCACTTCTGAAGCCCACTTCTAACCAACCACTTTAAATCTCAGAAAGCTGGATCGAGTAGTGGATAAAGGAGGACTTATTAAGGATACATAGTTAAT